CAGTATACTAAGTGCAAACCTAGTAAGGTTGGTTATCTCGGTTTGAGCAACGAGTTTTGTTACTTCAGTTGAGCCTCTAGGGGCAGCTTTCTGAGTTTGGTTTAGAAACTAAGAAAGCTGGCTTAGCCCCAAAGGCTTAGCTCGGTTGAAGACTGAGGTTCCTGGTTTACTGAGTTCAAACTTTGTTCGGAGAGCTTATCTCGGCTAAAATGAATCAGGAGTTGGTAACTTGCTGAAACTACTGTTATTTCTATGAGTTCTAGTTCGGTTATTGTCTGAATTGATCTACATATATAGCACAAACAGTCTCCTAGTTCGGTTGGGATAAGATTCTGGATCAAAAGCTAGTTTTCTATAGGATATATCATATACTCATGCGTTTTACTGTTAAAGTTTTTTCCATAAAAGTACAGAAGCAAAACAGAAATGTACAAATATGTTTCGCAAAAACATAGAAAGCGAGATACGAAAACAAAATAGATGAGCAATACTAACCAGTTGAATAGGCAAGGACTGGAGTTGGAAGCAACGGACAGCAGTCAACAAGCTCTTTCAGAAAACGAAGAACAATGAAGAAACGCGAAGGAAAGTTAGAAGATGAAGGGCAAACGTAGAGGGATTTTGGCCTCAAGGCTTGTTTTTGTTTGAAAGCCCAAAAATTGGGCAGGACTGTTCAAAAAACACGAAGAACAAAGACGGCGTGACAGCCGTCCTCAGTCAATCAGAGCGTGCCACGTGTGATTAGAATGGGAAGCGATACAGTCGCTGTGATTGAAGAGTCGTTTTGACCGGACAAGCAGAGCCCGGAGTAAAATAAGCTCGGCCGAAAGGCTAAAAAGTTTTTTTTAGCTCGGCTGGAGAGGCTAAGGGGTTTTTTAGCTCGGCTGGAAAGGCTTAAAAACTTCAGCTCGGCTGATTGACAGGTAATCCCAATCATGCTGTGCAGATGGAATTAAGGGGCAATTGAGAGGGTAGTTTTGGTGAAAATTGGACCGAGCTATAAGATGGTCATAGTGGCCCACAATACAAAGGGCTGAGTAAAAAAGGCCGTAAAAGTTACTCCGGCCCAAGAGAGGTACATAATTACTCCGGCCCAAGATACGTGTAAAGTTACTTCGGTCCGGAAGCAACTTGAAGTTAGACCGGTCTTGGAGTTATACCGTTCGCGAATCGTTAGTTCGGTCTAAACCGTGCCATGTACAGTGCATGATAAGCCGACATAAGAGAAGTAAAAGGAAGAACTAGTTTGGCTCATTCTACGGCTATGCTTAGTCGTGTTTACTTCGGTCGTATTGGAGTTCGGCCATGATACAACCATCTCACTTGGTTTAAGCAGTGAGGGGGGTGTTGAAGGATAAGCATTATCTTTCAGGAGTATGAATCCTAGGAGGACTCTGCATGGAGGAGTAGAAGTCCTACTAGGATTGTGCCATGCAAAACTTATAAAAGCTCACAAACATCACCTTTGGGGAGGTAACACACAACTTTGCTTTTTGAGTACACAGAGCTTTTGTCTATTTGTCAAGTTTACTGACTTAGGCATCGGAGAGGTTTCCGGCACACACCCGCTGGCTAGCTCACGTTTGTGTTTTCAGGGGATAGAGCGACAACGTACGGAGGAGGGTAGACTTGGTCAACAGGATTATATGAGAAGATTTATTTCTTTCCCGTACACTAACAAAACTAAAAACTAAAAGCAAAAAACATTACATTGCAAACTGTCTAGCACATGGGTGTCATTGCGGACGTACCCACATATGAATCGTAGCCAATGTTAACACTAACATTCAAAGTTCAATTACTTATGTAGAAACCATGGATTTTCAAACCCAAAACATTGCATGTGTCCAAAACATTTAACAAGATCATATTCCATTCAAACTCAACCACCATGTGTATTTAAAATCCAACCCAAACCACCATAACAGCAATCACAGACACAACGACCAATTACCACTACAAATAATATTTTCTTGGTGGATACTTAGGTGTAATGTTCACATTTGTAAACTCACCCAAATACCATAGTACAAACGTATATCATACACAAAACCCCCAAAATTCCTAATTCTAACACCGAAAACCAAGAACAAACCTCCAAAACAATAGACATTGGGCTACCACATATACGCTTAACGGGTAAAACATTACATACCTCTGTGTTTCATTGTCACCAATAGTAATTTTGGAACTGTCGGGGGTTCATGTATGCCAATGGAAACACTGCGAATGTTTCTAAAATTACTCTAATCGAAGAAGACGAATTGACGGTCTCGTCGGTGCAAGTTACATAGTTGATGTTGAGTTGGGAAACAAACGGTGTGTTGTTGAAATGTGGATTACGCCAATTGGGGTTCAAGCTGAATGAGTGGAATTCGCTTAAAACCCTATTCAGTAGTCTTTCAACAACATTTAGGGTTTCATTACATTGATTAAAAGATTATGTTGAAAATGATGGAAAACTAAAAAAAGCCCATAGTGTGCTCTATGTCCACAAATGTAATTTGACTATTACTCAAACCCCACATTATCACATCCAGTGAGGACAAAAAATGACATCATCCTTGATTTAGGACTTTTCAGTTCTAAAGAAAAGATGTGAGATTAATTGGTGAACAAGTTCACAATTTGAGATTTATTAGTGTTTCACCCCAGTTATAACTTTAGCATTATCATTTGGGCAATGATTCCTAGAGTGGCCAGCTCTAACATACTATTGGACATGCTTTAACAAGTTATTTTGTTTATTTTCCTTGTAGTACTAATGTTAAAATAAAAAATAAAAAATAAAAAATTAAAAAAAAGGGGACAATAATAGTGCAGGTGTGTGTTAGAAAAAATAATTACACATCAATAAAAAAGTTCATAATTTTTATTATGTTTATCATTTTTTGATAATTAGTTTTTCTGACTCCACTGTATTGTTATTTTTCTTTACAAAACTTATAGCTTCCTACTGATGATGGGGAATTTGATTTGTTCAATTTGAAATTTGCATCAACGGTTGATTCGTTGCGGATTTGGATAGTTTTTGTGTAATTTTTATACACTTTGATTAACTATGCATACAATTATAGCTTCCTATTGAAGAAGAAGACGAATAGAAAGAAAAAAAATAAAATTTATTCATATAAATTAATTAAAAAAATTATGGTTAATTTATGATATGATTAGGTGATATATAACATGCTTAAACTTAATATTTACTTCTATCAAAACCCCCTAAGCTAACTCTAAAAAGTGATTTACCAATGATTATTGAATATTAAGGGTGGACAAGGGCCTAAAGGCCCGCCTATGATTCATAGAATTTGGGATTACATTTTAGGCTTATAGGGCCGGGCTAGGCAATTTTGTTTGGCTAGTTTATAATTATGAGCGGGTGGCCTGACCCGGTCGAGGACTTGGATATATATATTTAATTTATTTATTTTATAGTATTTAACTTTGTTATGGTTTTTTTTTTATTTTTTTATTTTTTGAACAAGGAAAAAAAGGTTATGTGGTGTCATTATGGTCCCGTTGGGCCCTAGCCTCGGGATAACCGGTTGCCAGCTCGGAATTAACCCCCGTCAAGTGAGGGACCCACCACCAGGGCACCAATGGAGGGCAGACACACGCCGCAGCAGAGCCCAGGAACGAGGGGAGTAAAGGGCGAGCTCTCCGAAGAGATAACACACAGCCCCCTCCCAGGAATCGAACCTGGTCTCCCTGCTGTGAAACATGCCGCATCCTCCACCGGGTCATTAAATTTTAAATTTATTGGATGAATGTAGATTAATCATTTGACATTTTTATACTTTATACATTTATATAATTAATTGCCATCATTTATATACGAGATGCCTGCATATTAATCTATTTATAACTTTAAAAAAAAATATTTTTAGAGATGAAAAATAACTTATAAATGAATTAGTTATAAGATTTAACCTCATAATAAGAAAACACCAAATCATTAAAATATCAATATTATTTTATTGAAATTATGAAACAAACATATTTATTTTTATTGGTTAATGGACTACAGAAATAAGCTTGGGATTATGTAATTTCTTTTAAGGGGATTTAAAAGTCGATCTTATTAATCAAACTTATTTATCTATAAATTATTATTTTTTTGTCTATCAATATTTTTAAAAATAATTAGGACAAAATAAACATTTTTAGATGTATTAGTAATTAAAAAAATATATAGGATTTATAATTATTAAGGTCTGTCGCACAGGATTGACTCGCAATTTACTTTTTGGTGAGAGTATCTAGGCCCAATTATTAGATTGGACCGTGCTTAAATTAGTATATTTTGAATTATTATTATACGGAGGGAAAATATTATGAGAGCATCATGTAAAGAGTGTGCATCATATATACTTTATAATTAAATAAAAAAATGATATAATTTTAATCTTTCAAGTCATAATTAAAAAAATTGTCTTAACTAAACACAATATTAAACAATTTATGAATCATAACTAAAAAATAAAATTACATATATTAGAATTTCTCTATATATAGAGAGACAACTTAGGTGCAAGTGTAAGGTTTATAATTCGAGTCTATAAAGAGATGTTAGTCTGTGTTGGAATCTAACTTTCGTTTGTTTTCAGAGGTAGAATGAAAGAGATTTATAGTGAGAGAATTAATAGCGAGGGGATTAAATAGAAATTGTTAAATTATTTTTATATAAAATAATAAAACATATAAAAAATTAAACATTAATATTTAAAAAAAAAATTCCAATATATAAAAAATAAAAAAATTTGTAATCCCTTCACTATTTTTCTAATACCATCTCTACCTCCTCAATCTCAATCCCCCTTCCAACCTCCATCTATATCACCTCCTCCATTCTAATCCCCTTCACAACTCTACAAACAAACACAACACTAAATAACACTACCTCCAATTTAATCCCCTCCCATCTATTTAACCCCAAAACAAACGGATTCTCAATGCTATCTTTGTGAAGAATTTTTTCCGATAGAATAAACCCGACCCGAATCCAATTCGGTTAAACATTAGTCCACCGCTAATAGAGAGAGCGCCCGCCAATCAACAAAGAAGGAACAGTCGCAAAAACACACTCTCCTCCTCAAACATGTCTCAACTGTCGACTCTCTACCTCTTCGCTTACAATTTTCTTCAGGCTCTTGGATGGTAATCTCTCTCTCTCTCTCTCTCTCTCTCTCTCTCTCTCTCTACTTTACTCACATTTTACACATATGCAGGGCAATTTCTCTCTCCAGAATTTTGAGCAACTTGGTCTCCACCAAATCATTCAATGGCGCTTACTCTTCTTCCGGACAATTAATCTGTAAGTAATACATATTTGTGAATTTTGCATCTGAATCTCTCAATTCTAACTATATTCCCCATTTCACAGTGAATTTAATGTGTTAATTCTTTAATTAATTGATGTGAAGGTTTGTTGCAAACTGTTTCATTCTTGGAAGTTGTCCATGGAGCAATAGGTATTTTTACTCTTGAGCTTCAGTGTCTCTTGTAGTGAGAGATTAAAGAGAATATATCATTTGGGTTTTTATTTTTAAGTATTTTAATTGTTGCCTGTTTTAATTTTTTGAGGTATTGTGCCGAGTGGAGTGCTGCTTCCGCTTATGCAATGGGGTGGAAGGTCTCATTTTTTATTGGCAATTGTTCGTCGCGTCGATGAGGTTCATAATCTCTTTTTTTTTTTTTTTTGAATAATTCAAATTCATAACAAAAATGCCCTAGATCCTATACTTGGAAAAATGTTCACAATTTGAATTGTGTGAATAAGATTCTTTTTGGCTGTGGCCCATACTACACCAAGTTTGAATCTATGCATAGATTCAATTTGTTGACCCCTTTTTAAGTATTTAATTTTGGGCATGTTTTGGGGTAATATTTCTAAGTACATTGCATTTTGTTATGAATTTGGTTCATCAATTCTCGTGCAATAGGCCATGGTTAGCTTGTTAACCCATGATTATGAGTGCAATAATAAAAGGGGTAAATGTATTGTGGTAGTTTATTGGAGTTGATTGTTCATGCGCAAGTTGAACTAGATGGAATATAAATGTGAATCTCCAAATGCTTTTGGGTGGTGTGCCCATTTTCTTCAAAGTAATGACAATTCATTGTGTTTCCTATTGCAGGTCCAGGAGCTACCATCAGTTTTCGTGACTTTCATTGCTTGGTGCCTAATTGAGGTGGGCTGACTTTTGTACTAATTTCATTCACAAATGAATGTTATCTGCACATTCAACATCTTGTTAACCAAGACCTAGGGTAGGGAGTTTAATTATATTTTAAATGGTTCGTGATGAACTCACGCATCATGTTTTCGTGGATGGATTGGATTGACATGTGCATTTAAAGAACTTATGTGGGATGTCTGGATGTTTTGAATCAAAATCTTGGATGTCTTGTGACTTTGAGATGATATGGTGCAAATTTCTTCCTAAATGCAAATTGATTGACAAATGAGTTGATATTAGGAATAGGTAGTTTAGAAATAATGCTCGACTGCTACTCACTACCTATGTAGTTGTGCAATAGGAAACTACTCCCAATGCTTGGCTTGTTGAGGAATGGGAAAATGTCGCAAAATCTTGAAAGACTTTAAATTGCTTGAAGCAATTTGTGAGTGAAGAGTAACTAGAAATTTTAAAGTCCAAAGAGTTGCTCACTGTTTGATTCAGAAGCTGTTTTGGGGTTTGCTATAATACAGAAAGATGAGCCCTTCTTTGCATAACTTTAATTAAATTCTGAACAAACGTCTCTTACAAGAGGGCGGAAGGTTTAGTGTTTTATATGGTTGTGAGGGGAGACAACTGGAAAGATAAGATGGGAGCTAATACATGTTTCCAGAGGGCTTTTTTCCTGAAGTGATGTTAAAACTAGAGATTTTGCCACCAAGAATTGGTTGGAATATATTCTGTAAGAATGTAATCAATCATGCTAATTTCTTAAGCATTCTTTTGGGTGCTATTTATTTTTTTATTTTTTACTGATCTTTATCGTGAAGAAGAATTATCTGAACATGATCCTGATACAGGTAATCAGGTATCCACATTATGCTTTGAATTGTGTGGGAAGTTCTCCATCTTTAATTACCTACGTCAGGTCCGCAAACATTTATAGACAAACCACACAACACACACATACATACATACATACACAACTACACAGGCACGCTTGTCCACTAACAAACATGAACACAACATAATTACTTGAGCAGAATCTAACAATTCTTTTTTTGCATTTATGTTGTGTTGCTAGGTACACTGCTTTTATTGTTCTGTATCCACTAGGCCTTGCTGGTGAAAGTAAGTCCATAGATTCCCACTGATCCTTCTTTTTCATATTGTGGTTTTAGTCAGATTTAGGACTTCTCCTATTCTCTCATTTTGTCATTAAGATTTTTATGCGGTGTGTGTGCATCTTTGAAGAAATATTGATTGCTCTTTTTGATGCAGTGTGGCTCATGTACCAAGCACTTTCGTTTATAAAGACAAAAAACCTCTATGCAGATTCCTTTGCTGGCCTCCCTTTCACCTACTATGATTTTGTCAGGGTTTGTATTATTTCGTTTGTGTTTATGTGAAATTTTAAAAATTCTGAAGATGTGAACTGCCTCATCCTTGCCACATTTTTCATATCTGTGGTTCTGATGTGGGAGAGAGCATAGCCCAAGATTTTCATATCGGCAGTTGAAAGTATGCTACTTTCTAAACTGATGGATTTTTAAAGATGCTTAAAACGTCAAATTTAATTATGTAGGTTTCAACTTGAATAAGGTCACGCAAAATTTTGATTTCTCGTGATTGTTCCCTTCAAAAGCTAAAACATACTAGGGACTTCATTTTCTTTGGCCAACATAAATTTTTGGGTCAAAAAGATTAATCTTGTAGTGTTAGACCTTTTGAGTAAATCTACTATGAGTATCCTGGTCACCTAATTAGATTCGAGTTGCATAGGTCAATAATCTTGTTGGCTTGCAAGTGTTTCTTATACTATGAGGCATGGGTGCCGGTATGGATACTGGTACAGGTACGCTGATACGCTAAACTCTAAAAAATAATAAGGTATGGATACAGCTGAAATATGTCAAATATATATATATATTTAATTTATAGCTAAACATCCCACCTACAAACCAAAGTTCAAAACAATAACTTACAAAACCAAAAATATATCAATATTCAATAATATCAATACAATACTAAAATAAACTCTTGAACCTGATGAACTCATATTCCTATAACCATTAAGACAATAATTTGTGAATTCTCTCACTTCATTCAAATATATAATTTTCAAATAACAATTTGAAAACATCAATATTATCAAAGTAACAATGAAACATCAATATAATTTTCCATATTCCTATAAACATCAAATTTTTTTATATATATAATTCTAGTTGTCTACTAAGTATACAACAATAAGTAGATATGAAGTACGGGTACGAGTACGAGTACTGGTATTGGTACGATACGGGTACGTCGATACGGTAAATTTTTTTTAAAAAATAGGGTACAGGCACAACTTGGTACGCTTGTAAAAAAAATATTTATTTTTAATTTAGAAGAATGCAAAAATTAATTAAATGGTTTAATTTGTAAAGGTCCAACCTATAATTAACATTCAATGTCAAAAGTAAAAGTATAAATCAAAATTAAATGTCATTATATTAAATAACTTACAAATCATAGTTTAATTTTAAAATCATGCTAAGCATAAAACAAAAAATAAAAAAAAAGTCTAGTGAAAGAAGTTTTATCTCTGTAGTAGAAGAAAATATTGTTTCAAATGAGATACGGTACGGCTTGGGTATATACTAAGTACGTCTGGATACGCCAAAAATTAAGAAGAAAAAACTTGGGTACGTGTTTCGTGTAACCGGTATGTATATAGAAGTACCATACAAGGTACCATACGCTGATGAGTACCCGATACCGGTACGGCATATTTTTCGAAGTACTCATGCTTCATGTAGAATAGTGCAAAATTACTCAATAACAGTAAAGGATGGGTGGTTCCAAATTACTTGCATCAAATTCCAACTTTTGGGGGGAAAAAAATCAGCCCTTGTGAAGTACCCACCCTATATCCATGAACATTTTTGGAGTATCCGTGCTTCATAGTTCTTATATTATTTTGTTCTATATTCTTAAAAAGTTTTGTCTTACATATTTATTATTTTCCCTTCAAATTCTCAAATCAGGTTTTGCTTCTGTGCTATCCATTTATGTGGCTAAAGCTTTACCTGCATTTACTTGAGCAACGGAAGTCCAAACTAGGTAAACAACGTAAGAAAAAGAAAAACTGAAGGCTTTAGTTCTGTCAATCACTGATCAAGGTAAGACTAGACATTAAACTTCTTGCATGCATTTGTTGCTGATATGGCCTGCTGCGTCCAGTATTTAATGTCAAAAGTTTGAAATGTATGCAGTTATATATCATACCATTGGCCCGCCAATTGTTAGATTTATTGCTCCTTTTTAAATGTTAAGTACAATTATTAATCCCTATCAGGTGCTAAAATTATTGGTAGTAGACTGTCGATGATTCTTTGCACTTGATAGATAATGATAGTGATTCTTGCTTATAGCAACAGTTAAATTTATGGCAATGTTTTTGTTTCAACTAATTGATTTTGAGATTTTGTTCAATGGTTTGCAATCGTCAGTTGAAATCGTTTCCCACCTGCTCTAATTTTCTGTTTCTTGTGGAAAGAGAATGAAATATTGAATATCGTTGCATGATGATGAACCAACATTCATTGCTTTAACATTTGCTGATACACCTGCACTCAACATTTCGTTTCTACTATGTTCTGTTTTGTTTGGATGAAAAATTATTTTCTTGGAGAAAACATTTTAAAAGTGAAGAATGTGCCCAAATTAGTTTTTTATTTTTATTTTTTGAAAATTTGTCCCATTATGCAGGAATCTTATAGTTTGTCATGTGTACCCGTGAACCTCAATCACAATGATGCTTACCAAATCATCTTATATCTATTAGCCTCTTTAAACCATTCTAGTTTGGTTGCTTGATTAGACTGTTAGCTAAGCTACGCTATGTTTGTTTGTATGAACTGTATTAGATGAGATTAGAACTTCTAGAGTTTAGTTTTGAGATTACCAATTCCTCTTAATTATGTATCGTATTCCATGTCTAGATTTTAACCAAGGATTATAATGAGTAATTGATAAAATCTTATCAATTTTGTATCCCACCCCTTTTTAGGATTAATAGTCTCTCAAATGGGAAATACCATGGGTGGACTATTAGCCCAAATCCTAATCTTCTTAACCAATCATTAGATTATGTATTTTGTTAGATTATTAACAATGCCGTGTATGGAATTAGAATACAAAATATGCATAGAAAATACATTGTGTGACTAAGACCCACATCAAACTCATGATGAATTTCAGCCACAATGAATTTTTTGCGTATAGTATGTGTTCTTATTCTATGCATCTAGCATTAATAGATTTAATAATCCAATCCACAGTCCATCTCTACCAAAACAACTCAACTTGACATATGAACAATGGTCAACAATTGATTCCAAAGAAACAAGACAAAGATTACATGACAAATTCACAATAAAACAACACCCACTAGGGCCTGTACCAACTCCTGAAATTGAAAATCAAACACCACCGAAGCACCCACATCATTGAAACCAACTCCCAACTCTTTCACCACCACCTACTGAGAGAGAGCCCTAGAAAAAGACTAAATTCTTAGTAATCTGTGGTGGGAAGTTGCTCATGAGTGTTCTGAGCAATGAAAAGCACTTCATAGACCACGGCAGCGATGGCAGAGCCGACGAAGGGACCGAGCCAGTAGACCCAGTGGTTGTCCCATGACCAGCTGACAACGGCTGGGCCGAAGGACACAGCTGGGTTCATGGAAGCGCCGTCGAAGGCACCGCCGGCTAAGATGTTGGCACCCACTATGAAACCGATTGCGATGGGAGCAATGGTCCCAATGTTGCCCTTTTTGGGGTCCACGGCGGTGGCGTAGACGGTGTAGACAAGGCCAAAGGTCATCACGATCTCGAAAACGAGGGCGTTCCATACTGACACGCCGGATGAGAGGGAAAATGCTGATGTTTCCTGCACATCGTATTCATATGAGTTGAAAAAAAATTAGAGTGATGCACATAACTTGTTTGTGTGTGTGAGCAGTGTTTGATTGATCTATGGTTCAAAAACCAAATGAATGAGCAGTGTTTTATTGATCTATGGTCTCCAAATATGTGTTCTATATCATTCTAGTTAGGGTTGTAAACGAAAAAGAGTTGAGCGGAATAAATTGTTCAAACCTAGCTTCGAAATTCAATGAGTTTCAAAATGTATTTAAACTTGAATTACTTATTTTTCAAGTCAATTTCAACTGAACTTTAATTGAGCTAAGCTCGAGTGGTTTGACTTTTTATAAAGCTTTTTAACGAGGCAAAAACGAGTAATTTAGTTCGTTTTATAGTCCTGATTATAGTTTTACCGTCCAGATTTTGACAAAATTTGGATGAAAATGACAGCAGCACTTCTGAAACACAAACTGATAGTCTATTTATTTTTATTTTTAAAATTTTTAATTTTAAATCAATTTTGCATACCATTCCACCAGTTGAGAACTTGAGCAACAAGCAAGCCACAATAGAACCAAGGCATTGGGCAACCCAATACAAAACACTTCTCAACAATGTAATGTGACCCCCTATGAATGCTCCAAATGTGACTGCTGGGTTCACATGTCCCCCTGATATGTTAGCCCCTACTGAAACCGCCACGAACAGTGCAAATGCATGTGCTAGCGATGCAGCAACCAGGCCGGCCGGTGTGGTTGACCCATCGTCTGTTAGCTTGTCTGTCAAAAACCATACCATTAAAGGAAAATTGCTTAGTCCTTTGGTGCAATTTATTAGAATTATTTACAGTTTTTAGTGGGGGGCTTTTTTTTTTTTTTGGGGGAAA